TGACCTCCAGGTCAAGGTCTACCCGCATGCAAAGTTTCAAATCGCTGCGAGAATTTTTAATTTTTGGTGTCATTGGAGTACTAGGTGTTAGACTTATAGTCTTTTTACAGCATTTTTGACCAAAAAGGTCATATCATGGTAGGAGTCTCAGACTTGGCTGGTCGACTCCTCAGGTCATTTGGGACATACTGAACTGAACATTTTTCACTTTGGAGCCAATGTTGAGATCGTCTTTGATCGCCCATAGCTCCACTCCCAGGGGTGAGCGGGGGTCAAGGACGGTGAAAACGTGACCTCCAGGTCAAGGTCTACCCGCATGCAAAGTTTCAAATCGCTGCGAGAATTTTTAATTTTTGGTGTCATTGGAGTACTAGGTGTTAGACTTATAGTCTTTTTACAGCATTTTTGACCAAAAAGGTCATATCATGGTAGGAGTCTCAGACTTGGCTGGTCGACTCCTCAGGTCATTTGGGACATACTGAACTGAACATTTTTCACTTTGGAGCCAATGTTGAGATCGTCTTTGATCGCCCATAGCTCCACTCCCAGGGGTGAGCGGGGGTCAAGGACGGTGAAAACGTGACCTCCAGGTCAAGGTCTACCCGCATGCAAAGTTTCAAATCGCTGCGAGAATTTTTAATTTTTGGTGTCATTGGAGTACTAGGTGTTAGACTTATAGTCTTTTTACAGCATTTTTGACCAAAAAGGTCATATCATGGTAGGAGTCTCAGACTTGGCTGGTCGACTCCTCAGGTCATTTGGGACATACTGAACTGAACATTTTTCACTTTGGAGCCAATGTTGAGATCGTCTTTGATCGCCCATAGCTCCACTCCCAGGGGTGAGCGGGGGTCAAGGACGGTGAAAACGTGACCTCCAGGTCAAGGTCTACCCGCATGCAAAGTTTCAAATCGCTGCGAGAATTTTTAATTTTTGGTGTCATTGGAGTACTAGGTGTTAGACTTATAGTCTTTTTACAGCATTTTTGACCAAAAAGGTCATATCATGGTAGGAGTCTCAGACTTGGCTGGTCGACTCCTCAGGTCATTTGGGACATACTGAACTGAACATTTTTCACTTTGGAGCCAATGTTGAGATCGTCTTTGATCGCCCATAGCTCCACTCCCAGGGGTGAGCGGGGGTCAAGGACGGTGAAAACGTGACCTCCAGGTCAAGGTCTACCCGCATGCAAAGTTTCAAATCGCTGCGAGAATTTTTAATTTTTGGTGTCATTGGAGTACTAGGTGTTAGACTTATAGTCTTTTTACAGCATTTTTGACCAAAAAGGTCATATCATGGTAGGAGTCTCAGACTTGGCTGGTCGACTCCTCAGGTCATTTGGGACATACTGAACTGAACATTTTTCACTTTGGAGCCAATGTTGAGATCGTCTTTGATCGCCCATAGCTCCACTCCCAGGGGTGAGCGGGGGTCAAGGACGGTGAAAACGTGACCTCCAGGTCAAGGTCTACCCGCATGCAAAGTTTCAAATCGCTGCGAGAATTTTTAATTTTTGGTGTCATTGGAGTACTAGGTGTTAGACTTATAGTCTTTTTACAGCATTTTTGACCAAAAAGGTCATATCATGGTAGGAGTCTCAGACTTGGCTGGTCGACTCCTCAGGTCATTTGGGACATACTGAACTGAACATTTTTCACTTTGGAGCCAATGTTGAGATCGTCTTTGATCGCCCATAGCTCCACTCCCAGGGGTGAGCGGGGGTCAAGGACGGTGAAAACGTGACCTCCAGGTCAAGGTCTACCCGCATGCAAAGTTTCAAATCGCTGCGAGAATTTTTAATTTTTGGTGTCATTGGAGTACTAGGTGTTAGACTTATAGTCTTTTTACAGCATTTTTGACCAAAAAGGTCATATCATGGTAGGAGTCTCAGACTTGGCTGGTCGACTCCTCAGGTCATTTGGGACATACTGAACTGAACATTTTTCACTTTGGAGCCAATGTTGAGATCGTCTTTGATCGCCCATAGCTCCACTCCCAGGGGTGAGCGGGGGTCAAGGACGGTGAAAACGTGACCTCCAGGTCAAGGTCTACCCGCATGCAAAGTTTCAAATCGCTGCGAGAATTTTTAATTTTTGGTGTCATTGGAGTACTAGGTGTTAGACTTATAGTCTTTTTACAGCATTTTTGACCAAAAAGGTCATATCATGGTAGGAGTCTCAGACTTGGCTGGTCGACTCCTCAGGTCATTTGGGACATACTGAACTGAACATTTTTCACTTTGGAGCCAATGTTGAGATCGTCTTTGATCGCCCATAGCTCCACTCCCAGGGGTGAGCGGGGGTCAAGGACGGTGAAAACGTGACCTCCAGGTCAAGGTCTACCCGCATGCAAAGTTTCAAATCGCTGCGAGAATTTTTAATTTTTGGTGTCATTGGAGTACTAGGTGTTAGACTTATAGTCTTTTTACAGCATTTTTGACCAAAAAGGTCATATCATGGTAGGAGTCTCAGACTTGGCTGGTCGACTCCTCAGGTCATTTGGGACATACTGAACTGAACATTTTTCACTTTGGAGCCAATGTTGAGATCGTCTTTGATCGCCCATAGCTCCACTCCCAGGGGTGAGCGGGGGTCAAGGACGGTGAAAACGTGACCTCCAGGTCAAGGTCTACCCGCATGCAAAGTTTCAAATCGCTGCGAGAATTTTTAATTTTTGGTGTCATTGGAGTACTAGGTGTTAGACTTATAGTCTTTTTACAGCATTTTTGACCAAAAAGGTCATATCATGGTAGGAGTCTCAGACTTGGCTGGTCGACTCCTCAGGTCATTTGGGACATACTGAACTGAACATTTTTCACTTTGGAGCCAATGTTGAGATCGTCTTTGATCGCCCATAGCTCCACTCCCAGGGGTGAGCGGGGGTCAAGGACGGTGAAAACGTGACCTCCAGGTCAAGGTCTACCCGCATGCAAAGTTTCAAATCGCTGCGAGAATTTTTAATTTTTGGTGTCATTGGAGTACTAGGTGTTAGACTTATAGTCTTTTTACAGCATTTTTGACCAAAAAGGTCATATCATGGTAGGAGTCTCAGACTTGGCTGGTCGACTCCTCAGGTCATTTGGGACATACTGAACTGAACATTTTTCACTTTGGAGCCAATGTTGAGATCGTCTTTGATCGCCCATAGCTCCACTCCCAGGGGTGAGCGGGGGTCAAGGACGGTGAAAACGTGACCTCCAGGTCAAGGTCTACCCGCATGCAAAGTTTCAAATCGCTGCGAGAATTTTTAATTTTTGGTGTCATTGGAGTACTAGGTGTTAGACTTATAGTCTTTTTACAGCATTTTTGACCAAAAAGGTCATATCATGGTAGGAGTCTCAGACTTGGCTGGTCGACTCCTCAGGTCATTTGGGACATACTGAACTGAACATTTTTCACTTTGGAGCCAATGTTGAGATCGTCTTTGATCGCCCATAGCTCCACTCCCAGGGGTGAGCGGGGGTCAAGGACGGTGAAAACGTGACCTCCAGGTCAAGGTCTACCCGCATGCAAAGTTTCAAATCGCTGCGAGAATTTTTAATTTTTGGTGTCATTGGAGTACTAGGTGTTAGACTTATAGTCTTTTTACAGCATTTTTGACCAAAAAGGTCATATCATGGTAGGAGTCTCAGACTTGGCTGGTCGACTCCTCAGGTCATTTGGGACATACTGAACTGAACATTTTTCACTTTGGAGCCAATGTTGAGATCGTCTTTGATCGCCCATAGCTCCACTCCCAGGGGTGAGCGGGGGTCAAGGACGGTGAAAACGTGACCTCCAGGTCAAGGTCTACCCGCATGCAAAGTTTCAAATCGCTGCGAGAATTTTTAATTTTTGGTGTCATTGGAGTACTGGGTGTTAGACTTATAGTCTTTTTACAGCATTTTTGACCAAAAAGGTCATATCATGGTAGGAGTCTCAGACTTGGCTGGTCGACTCCTCAGGTCATTTGGGACATACTGAACTGAACATTTTTCACTTTGGAGCCAATGTTGAGATCGTCTTTGATCGCCCATAGCTCCACTCCCAGGGGTGAGCGGGGGTCAAGGACGGTGAAAACGTGACCTCCAGGTCAAGGTCTACCCGCATGCAAAGTTTCAATGCGCTTATCTGAATACTGTATATCTGTGAACAATATTCCTGAACTTTGTAAAACATATTGTACCAACTCTTCGTATACTAGAATGCTTGGGGAAAAAACAATTCAATTGTAGTATGGGCCTGAGACTTTACATTACTGAAATAAATGTATGTGTATGTGTTTCTGTATGTCTATGCCCGATATGCATTTACACCAATCAAACACACTTGCTATGCTGCGCCCGTGTATGAGGTATACCTTATTAGAAGAAAGACCTGATAACTTCGGCAACAGATGAACTTTGGACCTTGTGTTTCATACGTCAAATGTTCTAAACTCGAAGACAAAACAAGAAATGAAACGTTTGCTTTCTTTATGGATTTTATCACACCTTGCTCTTTAGTTCGTCCCCGCCCTTATGTCTTACCACCGTCTCACACAAACAATGTATTTCACTTTAAATGGCCCTCAGTATACACCTTGAAACATTTATTGGAACAAACAAAAAGTCAAGAGAATGTTGGTGATGGTCCCCAGAAAAGAGAAAATAGTGCAAACTTTCGCACAGCACCGCGTCGCGACTAAAGACAGTTTGGACAAATAACCACCGCTGGATAGTTCAACAGAATGTTCCACACACTACTGACGATCCAAAAATTGGCAACCATCGTTTTAATTTTTTTGGAACTAGTTTTTATCAACGACGGCCCACGAATACGCCACGTCTGGGAGAATTCCTTTCACAAAATTTCACGAAAAAGCTTTACTACTAGCTTGCGTGCTATTTACATTGGTCTGGGTCCTTAGCTTTTGTTCCTAACACATATGTATTTGTCTCCTCGGGGACCATCTTAACGCTGCCTACGTCCTCTTGCGTTCATTTCCTTCCATTCAGAATTGTACGACTTCCATGCAGCCATTGCAGCCATTGCTCCCTTGCGCCTGTCACCTAAAGTCGCCGATTGCTTATCACCCCAGAGAGGAATATGAAGAGTTCTTTTCACATTGTGTAGGTAAGTTATATTTAGGTTGCATTGAGCAGCACGTGCAAAGGTAAATTGTCTTTGCAGCAACAGAAAATCGAAAAAAAAGCTCTGTCCACGAGAGAGCTTCAGTTTCTGTTCACTCTTTCTGCCACGCCCAATTAAACAACGGTGTTGTCGGCATGTCACAAACATTTATTCAGAATGTCGTCCACACTGGAATAAAACAACATTGACACGTCATTACAAAGAGATAAAAAATAAATTAATATTTCACCACCATTTATCAAATATAATGTTGTGGATTTTTTTTAAATATATAACACACCATCATGGAACCAACCACTACCATTTGTCCTCTTGTTCAATGTCAATGTCATATTATGCCTTCTTGTAAGATGCAATCATTTAAAGGAGGCAGCACATCTGCGGCTTTTGGGCCATTGTCAACTACCTATTGCACAACAACAACAACAACAACAACAACAACAACAACAACCCTGTGTTGAACTGCTCATAGTGGTCCTAACTGCTACAGTGTTCCACAGAGAAACAAGTTCATACCAACTCACTGTTTGGAGACTCTTAAATGTTCTTCACTGTAGAAACAATGTTGCACTGTAAGTAAACCTGCCAAGGCTTTAACTCAGTTATTCCACAGTTCATAAGACTTAACAGCTCTGTTCTGATTTAACTGGATTGGTACTTCACTGATATTCTTTAGTTAGTCAGTCAGTTAGTCAGTCAGTCAGTCAGTCAGTCAGTAATATTCTTTACTTGTTGCCATGACTTGGTGCAGTTCATATCTTATCCAGTGGAGATGTTGAGATATCGTGAGGCTAATGATGTGCATATTGACATGAAAATGATAATGGTTACATCTTAATTGTGGGTAAATGTATGTTTTGGACAGGTGGGATTTTGAATACATGCATACAAAATATGATTTGAATCTTTCATGTTTTGTTTTATCATGTTTATTGAACTGAGTAGCAGCATGCACTCAGCTTGGATGCTGACAGATTTGCACATAGATGCTCACTGTAGCCATTATGTCACAGCTAGTATGGTAAGACAAGCCTGTTGGATAATCTGAGGATAGAACTAGGGGGGTTGCAGTGTAGAGCAATGACCAATAGGTATATCCAGCAGTATAGGTCAGCACTGTGTACTGGGTAAAGTGACACTCAGTGAGCCAGCTCACACATCCCGACCACCTGGCTACAGTTGACTGACTACGTGGGTTCTATGGACCTGACATACAGCAGTCACCCTAAGATGATTGGATAGTCACAGAGAATGAGGCAAGCCTTTCTGGGTACCTTTTATTTGGTTTTTATTAAACCCTGCAACTGTGGAGGACTACAATAAACTGGTGCTGCATTTGGTATATGATTTCATGTGCACTCTTTGTTTTGTCCAACAGTTTATGTCACTGAAAAGGTAATGAGTTGAACTTGAATCTGATGTGGTTGTCTTCCTCATGAAAATAGTAGTAGTCAGCCTCAGTGTCTCCTGTTAGCCTCAGGGTTAAAGTGTTCACTTGTCATGCCAGGTACAGGTTCAACTGAGTATAATGTGTAAAGCCCATTTCTGGTTTCCTCCACCATGATATTAATGTAGTGTTGTCAAAAGTCACATTAAACCACTGACTGACTGACTGACTGACTGACTGACTGACTGAGTGACTGACTGACTGACTGACTGACTGACTGACTGACTGACTCTGACTGACTGACTGACTGACTGACTGACTGACTGACTGACTGACTGACTGACTGACTGACTGACTGACGCACTTTCAGTAGGGGGAGAATACAGTTATACTTAAACAAATACCACATTAATTTCACCTTGTCAAGCAAACTAATAATACATCTTTCTTGTAAAACTTATGTCAAGGGGTTTAGAGTTACTCAGATTAACATGTACGAGACAACGGTCGCCACTCACAGGGTCAAGAACACCTGAAGAGTATAATACTAGTTAAATGTTTAGGGGTGCTGAGTAATCCTTGTGGTTTCAATAATAATTTGATGAAGACCAAAAGTTGCCTGCAAATATTCTAGTGGTTTAAAGATACTAAGGTAATCAATCTATATTAATATGACCTGCTACTATTGAATCAATACCTATTAACATATCAATCAAGCCCCAGCATTGACTACTTTAAGTATGTTACAACATCCCTATCACAGATCAACAGGTGTTCCATCTTACAAGTGATTTTCATCCAAAATGTCTTGAGTCCTATTAATAAGTTATCCATGCATTTAGTAAAAAAGTTGGCATTAAGACCCTTGTAGATCTATGTTGAGTAAATGCACTGCGGAAACCTGGTAGTAATTTCTTCATTTAAAATATGAGAGTGTAACCATGTTTTTGTAATATATATTACATTATATCCTTAAATTTGATGTTAATGATATGAATCTTGTAATTGGGACTTCCTATACTAGGCTGCTGTATCCCCCTCGTGCTGGAAGTACAGATGAACTAAATAACATAATATAGATGTAGTCTGTGTTTAAATAATTTCTGCTCTTTGTACAAAGAACCTACAATCAAATGCCCTGATTCTCTGTTGATACTGTACAATACTTAGTCCCATCAAAAACTTTCATAGGATCAATTTGGATAGAAACTCATAGTCTGCAAAGTAAGGTGTCAAGATAGTTGTTTTAATATAAGAATTATTGATCATTTATCATATCTGTATCAGAATGCATGAGCTGGTGGCATGTGGTCCTGTGCACAGCGCACAGCGCACAAGTCACATATCTGTCAAGTTGAGCTACACTGGTTGTGGGGAGTGTGGGACTGTGTGCAGCAGCTAGGCTGCTGAGATTTTCTTTGGCTTTGCCCCACACTGAAGCACATTTAACAAATGTGGTGTCCCAATGGGCAAGTGACTGTTTGAAATGTGCCTTTCTTCACCCAGCAGTGAATGGGTACCCGGTAGGATGAGATGTCAATGTGACTGTTAACCTGCTACTGCCTCAAAGCAGTGTGGGTTGTATACTCCCCAGGGAGCTGAGAATGATTGTTAAGTGCACGTTGATCCATTGAACGGGGTAATAAGTATGCTTTGAGCAACCTTATAGTGGATGGAAAACAGCGCCTAACAAATGCACTTGTGTTGTATGAAATGTGGATGCAGTATAGATTTTCAAATGTTAAAAAAAATAATTCCCAACAGGCATAATAACTATAGTAAAATCAAAGGTTTTCACATCATCTGTATATAATCTGCATGTTAACCTCTCACACAAGACATGTCAGCACAATAGAGTTCACCCATAAGGCATTTGTCCAGTGACCATGACAAAATAAAGTTCAGAATAAATAATCATAATAAATAAAGATATGCACTGAAAGTCAAGTCACAGATTAGATGATTAATGGCAGTAATTCCCTTCTAGAGATCATAATTATATTGACAAAAAATAATATATATAATTGTTTGTACAGAACATGTCTGTTTCATGTGGTTGAACTGTTGAACAGTTTGTTACTCTGGACCATCTTTCTGTTTTTATTTTGATATGGTTTTTATTTTTTAACTGATACAAATTTGTTTGTTCAGAAATGGATGTAATTACTTTGGCTGCTCTGTAAAGATACATTGGAGGAGCTGACCATCTTTACAGATCCGTAGGGGTATGGCTTTTTGTCCTATTTGGGTTGGAATTTTGTATTTTGTAAAGCCATCTGCAACCTTCACTTGCGTCCATTGGGCTTGCCAGGCCATTTGTGCTTTGATTTTGCATTTTCTCCAGTTTTCTGAAGGGAATAGGGTGTATCTCCGCTTTGTCCGGAACTAGCTTTGCCAGTCTGTCTGCTGTTTCATTCCCATGAATATCTATGGGAGACAGGGATAATTTACAGATTCAAATGTCTTATATTGGCCCCACTAAACACAGATTAATTACTTAAGTTTAAACTTGTTTTAACAATTGCTGAGAGTTACTCTGCTGAACCATTGTGCATGACGAACCCCTCTACTCATCGTTATTCGCCCACTTCACATAATTTACCAAGTAATTAGGTGCTCTATGCTAGACTGGGTTCATCAATCAGGTGATGTGGGTATGGAAGAGCCCCCTCCTGAATTCTTAAGGGGTTACATGGGGGCCCAATAGTAGAACAAAACATGGGTGATAGTGATACTAGATTTATTCACACCATCATTTGTTAGATTTTACCTTTGTGTGAACAATGAGATGTTTCCTACTTCCTAATCATATGCATGAACTTCATTCACTCATATTTCCATGTATTTTGGTTCAGGTTAAATGTCTGTTCCCATCCACCAGCAGACAGGACACATGGTCTACTCAGCCTACAGTGTTATAGAAACATCTTATTGCATCAGTGACTGTCTCAGCTACTGGCTTCTACCTTGACATAAAGTGGTATAGCCCTCCATGTTATTGTGGACACAAACGAACATACTAAGCCCATATTTTATTATTTTTTAAAAATTCTGTCACACTTTCAGACATTCAATAACAAATATGCAATATTTGCAACAACATTTCAAAGTTAACAAATGTTTTTTGGGATAACACTTTCTTAGTAAAGTACAGATTCTAGTACTTGTTTTGGTTGAGTCCCATGAAGGATTCAAACCCGCACTGCCAGAGTGAGGCCCCTAATCTCAAGCTCACAAACTCAGCGATCTGACCCACTCAGCCACCGAGGCTTAGAAAGTGTGATCCCAAATATACCATTTGTTACATGAGACCACATTCTAAATATCATTGTGTGTTCACAACATTTCAAATTGTTATGGTTCTTAGTATTAAGTTATGGTTACAAGTTAAAAATGAAGATATATATTATGTAATATTATATAAAATATGTCTCACTGTATTATCACTTTAATACCTATCTTTAAAGACCCACTGTGGTACACTTGCCCAGGCAGCCACCCTGTGCCATTACACGCATCCGCGTTCGCTTTTGTTTATTCCAACTTTTGGTTGAACCGGGCCTTCCGGGTTTTTCTGTCAATGTTATGGTTGCAGAATAAACTGCATTGAGTTGACACTGCAGTGCTGACTAATCCTTGGTTCTGTACATATTTCCAGTGTACACAAGTCAGTCGCTGGTTGTTGAGTCTGTATCTGAAGCCATGGAGGAGGACTTGCCTACCGCCTTTCTGCCACGTGAAGTATTCAACTTTCTTTGGATTTGTCATAGTTTAAAGATTCCATGATAAGCATTTTATAACTATACATTTCCTTTTCCATTTTGAGTAAAGAAAAAGAAATTCTTATTTCTCATGAAATATCTCAAACTTGACTCTAAATTGCCATCAAAATACTGGAGATGCAAGTGAAGAGAAGTGAAACTAAAACAACATGATCTGTACCTTTTGTTATCCCCTGGCATATGATGCGGCGGATATGGTTGACGCCTGTGGTCGACGCCTGGAGCGACCAGAACTGGGATAAACACTATAGAGAAATATATCTGTGGCATGCAACTATGTGTTTAACTGACAAACATTTAATAAGAGCAAAATCATCTGCACTTCGTGTGTTTTGTATTTTTACTCCGTTCTGCAAAGGGCAAATGGCAATGCTACTGACTCGATATCCACCATTTGCAGCTAAAAATGGCAGCGTATAAAAGTGGTAATGCGGAGCTAAAGCGGATTACAATTTCTTATTTTTATGCTTATCGCTTATGAAAAACTGCCATTTCTATAAAAATAGTCATGTTGCTTATTATCTGTAATTACTGCCCATTGCCAATGTTTACTTTCTAACCATGATATAACTCCCAAATGTATTATTTGATTGTCTATCATATCATAACCTTCGTGAGGTGGTGACATGTTTAATAACAGTCAATTTTCTGTTAAATAGCTATCTTGGCCACTTCTGAACACAGTATTTTCCTACAACAGAGCAAAAGCCAAATGAAAATAAAACTATTCTCTAATTTATGTATTTTAAAGATGTTATGCCACTCATTGGTGCGGATACAAGAGTAATAATTCAAGTTCCTAGGATGTTTGTGTTATGCTATTTTTCAAGAGTTATAAGAGTTGGACATATTTCTTCTCATACACAGTAACACAGGAGGTTTATGCCTAGGAGAATACACTCATGCCATTGTACAACAGGCGATGATGTGCACAATAAATATGTGGGAGGGTATGTACATTAATATAATAATATTAATTATTTTGAATATAACTAAGTGTGTCATTAAACATCAAACAATGAATACTCAACATGTCAGAGTTAAAAGGGGTACAATTACATTTGTACTATTCAAGGGATTTCTAAGCCCCAATACCTCACAGCCCTCTGGCAACTGATGTGTGTATTTTTGTTTGTATTCTCAAGTCCCTAAGTCATTTTTTTTTAATATTACTATTACTATAATGTTAGATTTTAGTGGTAACAATTATTCAAAATCACTCCATTTGATAATTATGTACATGATGATAAAAGCAACTATTTTTTAATTAATGTTGGAGGTGCATGTAACTGCTACCAGGCATAGCAGATGCTTGTTGTGAGAGAGTTTGTGCTTCATCTTAGAAGTCTAACTTAAAAAATAAAAGAAACTAATTACATATAGAAATATTAGAGTAGAAATTGTTGAAAAAGATTTCTCTTGTTGAAAAAGATTTCTTTAATGTTCCTTTGATTCACCCACCACCCTATTCTTTTTCTCATTGTTTTAAAGGGAAAAATACCATATGTAATACCCGGTATGACAAAATCTCCTTCCTGGTCAGCGTTAAAATAACTGGGAAACTCATTGAACCATTCCTGGTAGCTTATTGACATATATACGTTGAAGCTTTCATAACCATTTTGCCAGCAAAATGTCCTCATATTTCTTAAGACAGATAACATATATTTAATAAACCCATTACTAATTGAGAACTGAACTTGTTATCTCAAGCTCTGTCATCATTGACATTAATATTTGCAAGACAAAGCAACAGTAAGAGTTATCCTCCCTTTACAACTTGATCAAAATGGTCGTCTGGTCCTTGCTGTTGAAGGCCAAGTGGCTGAAGTTTCTAAGATAATATTTCTTTGAAAGACGAGAATGTGTAGGTAAGTCATTATACCTTTCGTTTATACTTTTTTTTCAATGTCATGCATTGTGCAGTCAGTCCCTCCATGATGATCAGTTAGCCTATTACAGCTGTGAAGGGGACAAAGCTTTTTTTAAACTATGTAGTTTCATATGCAAAGCATATTGTCAAAGTACATGTTTCTCAAAGGTTGTAAATGTGAATGACAATGTTCAGAAAACAAAACTCTCAAGATTCCTTTCATTCTTGAAAGCATCACATTTATGCCACTTCTAGTTGAGGGGGATGTGAGTAATAATATAGTCAACAATCTCTTAACATTAGCAATATTGACCCATAGCATTCAGATTCTCCTCACAAGTTTGAAATGTTATTTACTATCATCAGCCAAAAAGAAATCTTAAGATTTCATTAATTGTAGATTTTAAAGGTGTTATCCCATTTCTGGTCAAGGTTATATGAATAATAATATAGTAAAAATAATCTTTTAAAATTAGAAATCTTGACTCATAGTGTTCAGGCTTTGCTCACAGGTTTGAAATGTGATTTACTGTCATCAGCCAAGAAGAAATCTTAAGATTTCATTAATTGTAGATTTTAAAGGCGTTATCCCATTTCTGGTCAAGGGCAGATGAGTAATAATATAGTAAATTTTTTTCTTAAAATTAGAAATATTGACTTATAGCACTCACATTCTGCTCACAAGTTAGAAATGTGATTTACCATCAGTAGCCAAAAGAAAATATTCAGATTACCTTAATTGTAGAGTTTAAAGGTGTTATCCAATTTCTGGTCAAGGCAAGATGAGTAGGAATATAGTATTAAATCTCTTAAAATTAGAAATATTGACCCATAGCACTCAAATTCTGCTCACAAGTTTGAAATGTGATTTACTGTCATCAGCCAAAAAGAAATCTTAAGATTTCATTAATTGTAGATTTTAAAGGTGTTATCCCATTTCTGGTCAAGGGCAGATGAGTAATAATATAGTAAATTTTTTTCTTAAAATTAGAAATATTGACTTATAGCACTCACATTCTGCTCACAAGTTAGAAATGTGATTTACCATCAGTAGCCAAAAGAAAATATTCAGATTACCTTAATTGTAGAGTTTAAAGGTGTTATCCAATTTCTGGTCAAGGCAAGATGAGTAGGAATATAGTATTAAATCTCTTAAAATTAGAAATATTGACCCATAGCACTCAAATTCTGCTCACAAGTTTGAAATGTGATTTACTGTCATCAGCCAAAAAGAAATCTTAAGATTTCATTAATTGTAGATTTTAAAGGTGTTATCCCATTTCTGGTCAAGGGCAGATGAGTAATAATATAGTAAATTTTTTTCTTAAAATTAGAAATATTGACTTATAGCACTCACATTCTGCTCACAAGTTAGAAATGTGATTTACCATCAGTAGCCAAAAGAAAATATTCAGATTACCTTAATTGTAGAGTTTAAAGGTGTTATCCAATTTCTGGTCAAGGCAAGATGAGTAGGAATATAGTATTAAATCTCTTAAAATTAGAAATATTGACCCATAGCACTCAAATTCTGCTCACAAGTTTGAAATGTGATTTACTGTCATCAGCCAAAAAGAAATCTTAAGATTTCATTAATTGTAGATTTTAAAGGTGTTATCCCATTTCTGGTCAAGGGCAGATGAGTGATGATAAAGTCAAAAATCTCTTAAAATTAGAGGGGGCACGGGTGGCCCAGTCGTCTAAGGTGCCGCGGTTCACTGTGCAGTGTTGTGTCCCTTGGATCCGCCAGCAACCTATGATTGTGGGTTTGAATCCTGGTTCGCCCCAATAATGCTTCTAGGCTTGTCAGCACCATCACTTCAGGCTTTCCTCCCACATTAAGCTGACACACCCTGATATAACTGGAATAATGTTAAAAGCGGTGTTAAACCCAACTCACTTAAAAATTAGAAATATTGACCCATTGCATTCAGATTCTGCTCACAAGCTAGAAATGTGCTTTGCTATCAGCAGCCAAGAGAAAATCTTAAGATTCAATTATTTGTCGAGTTTATAGACTTTATCCCATTTCTGGTTGAGTGGATATGAGTAATAATATAGTAGAAAATTTCTTAAAAATAGAAATATTGACCCCTAGCATTCAGATCCTGCTCACAAGTTTAAAATGTTATTTACTATCAGTAGTCATGAAGAAATCTTAAGATTCCATTAATTGTAGAGTTTAAAGGCGTTATCCCATTTCTGGTCTAGGGGATATGAGTTATAAAATAGTAAAAAATCTCTTAAAATTAGAAATCTTGACTCAAAGTATTCAGGCTTTGCTCAGGGGCTAGAAATGTAATTTACTATCAACAACCAAGAATAAATCTTAAGATTCCATTATTTGTCGAGTTTATAGACTCTATCCCATTTCTGGTTGAGTGGATATGAGTAATAATATAGTAGAAAATTTCTTAAAAATAGAAATATTGACCCCTAGCATTCAGATCCTGCTCACAAGTTTCAAATGTTATTTACTATCCGCAGCCAAAAGAAAATCTTAAGATTCCGTTAACTGTAGATTTTATAGGTGTTATCCCATTTCTGGTCGAGGGGATATGAGTAATAAAATAGCAAAAAATCTCTTAAAATTAGAAATATTGACCCATAGCACTCAGGTTCTGCTCACAAGTTTGAAATGTGATTTACTGTCATCAGCCAAGAAGAAATCTTAACATTCCATTAAGTGTAGATTGTATGATGATATTATGTATAAAATGTCATAGGTTGATTATGACCTGTGAACATCTGTATAGATTGATGTATTACCACCTTCCATGGAAGTGTGTATTTGTCTATTTCTAGACTTGCTAAAGCCAAACTGGGGAAAGTGGAAATTGATAGTTTATACAGAAGGGTTCATTGGTCTGTTGAGGGCTCAAAGAACTGAATACAGGCGAGCTACCGCTAGCACTGACCTGACACACTAGCCATAAACATGTCACAAGATGATTCCCTAATTACTACTGACTAGTTGTCTGTTCAGATCTCTTACTGCTCAGGAGATTGTTGATACTTGAATTCCAAGGAGGAACTGGCTCTATGAAGTGTTGCTCATACTTAGATAAAATACTTGATCAGTGATGATATTTTCCATTATTCCAGATAATACAAGATGAGCATCTAATTGGATCTAATTAGATATGAGTACATGCAGTGTAATGTTACTCAGATGGAAGATCCGTCCAAAAGTATGAACAACATGAAATTAAAAAAAACCCAGGTAAAATAGACATAACCGCATTGATCATGATCTGACGTTTTCATCAGAAATAAAAACAGATTTGTTGGTATTAATCATTGCAGAAGTCTTTACTGGAACTTTCTAAGTCTCAAGTAACTTGAAATGCTTTGACATAAGTTTAGTCCCAGTCAAGACTACTATTTTTGTAAAGGTGCAATTTTTTCATCTAAATTGTTATTATGACATTCACTCTCTCTCCCATTTCAGCAAAAAATGGTGGCTTCCTTGGCGTATCAACGGAAACCCTTGAAGCTAAAGAAGGTCTAAAGTCTACCATGATGGGGTGGCCCCTTAGTGGACCCACCATGACCCAGTCATGGGCTGTTGAAAAAAGGCCCCTCCTGATCCCTTTGACCATGCAAAACCCCATCTAGGCTGAAAAATTTCATTCACTCTCTCTCCCATTTCAGAAAAAATGGGCAGCTTCCTCGGCGCGTCAAGGCGACAGCCAGTGTACACCTCAGAGGTTCTTCCAGCTTGCCAGGTGAGCTTCAAACAGCCCAAGGCACCCTAGGAAACTGGTCAAAAATCAAATCCACCTTCTTTTTCTCTCTGTCTTTTTTTAAAGAGCTTGTGTAGACTTAAGACTTTCAGCAGGTTTAAGGGCAGCTATAGGAGCCCTTAAACCTGCTGAAAGTCTTAAGTCTACAATGATGGGGTGGCCCCTTCCTGGAACCCCCAGGCAGTCATGGGCTGTTGCAAAGGCCCCTCCTGATCCCTTTGACCATGCAAAACCCCATCTAGACTGAACAATTTCATTCACTCTCTCCCATTTCAGAAAAAATGGGCGAGAGAAAAAAAATGGGCAGCATCAAGCCGGACAGTCATTGTACATGTCTATGTTTAGTTCTCCATGTGATGTGACCGCCTCCGAGGTCTAGTGGTAGAGCGTCCGCCCGGAGAGCGGAAGGCCCGGGTTCGATCCCCGGCCGCGTCATACCAAAAGACGTTAAAAGATGGTACTTGTTGTTACCCTGTCTGGCGCTCGGCATTATGAGGCTAAAACAAGGACTGGTCGGCTCGGAGTCAGTATACTGTGTCTGAGTGGGATATTCATGTCAAACTGCGGCATGGTGTCTCAGTGAGCTAGCACTATACATCGGCATCAGTCCGGACTAGTACAAGCAGCCACACAAACACATACACGTGCATGCACGTCGCTATATAAGTGCAATAATCTTGGACGCGACGTTAAACCCAATTTCACCTCACCTTCATCTCCATGTGATGTGATTAAATCGAAAGGAAATTAATATTTAAACTAAAAGTTTTAATGTTAGTTATTTCTGTGTTTGATTATGGATTTACTGCAGACTGAATGGATATTAAACGCAAATTTTGTCCTTGTGCCTTATAATGGTTCAGGTTAAACTATACTTTATTAAACTATATATGAGGATAGAGCAACCTTTATATCTGAAAGACATGCTCCATTTGCTTTATCTGTGTGGTTGAACCTTGGCTCTATTAATATCAAAGTTGGGTGTGTAGCAGAGGCTGACATCAACCACATATTAGAATGGATCCCCTACTCTTTTACAATCCCTCCACTTATGTATGATGTTTCTTTGTCCCAATTTCTCCGACAGATTGATTTTTTATTAATTGTGCATGTACATCTTTTATGCATGTAGTATGGTGAAAATTTTTGCAGAGTATTACACCCAGAGTGAGCCACCTTATCGCAAGCACAGAGTCAGCGATCTAACCCACTGAGTCTTCCACAAAATGAAAGTCCAACAACTGGTAGTCTGATTTCGTACTTCATGTACACCCCCCACCCTATCATAACCTGTATTTGTCAGTGGAGGTATTATTAGATCTTACCCTGATTGTAGGAAGAAATGTTACAGGAAAGAAAGTTACAGAAATAAAGTTACATGACCAGCATAGCCTGCTTGATACCCAACCTGGAATACCTGTTTCCTGTGCTATTATGTTCTGTCAGTATTGGGTGAAACACATTGTGTAGTAGTATGCTAAGTGTCTGCACCAAGAATGACTTCCTAGTAGAGAACTTAATTGTGAGGCAGTTAACATTAAGCATAACATTACATGCTAATTACTCACTCAGAACTAGAAATTATGAAATAACTTTTTCATGTTAATTATTGTGGAAAGTATCTTTTTATCTTTACATGAATATATTATGCCTTATTTCGTGTGGTTTCTCTAAATTCTTATATTCAAAACTACAGGGTAAATGTAGAAATAGAAATAAACTTTAAATTTCAAAAATAAATAAATGCCATTATAAATGCATTTGTGAATATGACACATGAAAAAGTTACTTCCTTTTCACTATTTACCAATTTTGTCAAATCCTGACAGACTTGGTTAAAATATATTTAGATTTAAAAATGTAATTAAAAACACGACTTTATATCTTGCATGCCATTGCAGAATATTGTAGAATGTCCTAAGGACTGGTAATTTATATATTTATTGGGGGGTGATCATGAAGAAATTACACAGCAAATAAAGGATGGGGTTGGGGAGGGGCGTTTTAATGACAACATGTAGGGGGTCACCAAAATTTATCACAAGTATATTTGGGGGAGTGGGTACGTACAACATAAATGACATGGTTCTGTATTATTTTGAACGTGGGTACGTACAACATAAATGACATGGTTCTGTATTATTTTGAATAAAAAGGTTAAATATTTCATTTGTTATATGTTATAAATGTCAATAAAAATGCAATCTGTATATATTAGGGACATAATAAATGCACATAAAATGTGTGTGTCTGTGGTTGGGGGGGGGGAGGGTCTCATCTAAATATGGTCCTAACCAGGTTGATAATTAAGGTCCTCTACCTCCTTCTCACACAGATACCTGTATATTTCCACCCCTTTATGTTTGTATGGTGCTCTCACATGGGGGCAATGTGTTCTTTCATTCAATACACAACATGCTTTTGATCTAATTAATACAGAGAGCTGGCATGTTGGTGTATGTAGGATGCAATATTATGCAATCCTCAGTACCATGGTTTATGGTCACTGATCTGGTACTGTTCATTCCTTGTTTCTGTCAATCATGATGAATTAGCCAATGAAAACTTATGTTTCATTGAAAAGGCCAATGACCATCGCTTCCTGAAGTTAGTAGCTAAGAATATAAGATTGTCGTATGTGGTTGTTTATGGAATGTGAATGACTTTTCACCTGTGCCAGGTACTAGTCTGTATCAACAATCCATGTGTGTAACTTTGAATCATATCTCCTTGTTATATTTCTCTGTTGGATTGGCGCTACAATTATCTGTCCTGATGACAGTTAAACATTGCAGGTTAGTAATATCATTGCTTTAGGCACATACGTTTCAGCATATCTTTAATGATTGACATATCTCAGGTAATTAGCAGTGATAATTGCCATGTATGATACTAACTTCCTCATATCAAATAATTCTTGTTTTGGTAATAATACATATTTTGAAAGTCTAAAAGAGAAGACCTCCAAACCTGAGTATTTGCAGCACCATGTTCATGGGATAGAAATAAAATGCGGTTTCGCAATTTGGACCTGTATTCTTCATTTGTTAAAAAAATATGAAAGTATCATATTTTCCAATGTTTCAAATTGTTCCTATTTGAAGGATTTGTAGAACAATTTAGGGGGTCACATTATGTAGAGAAATAATTGTCTTTTATTGTAAAAAATTAGTAATGAAAATGAAACTGTTCAAATACTAGTCCAAATTTCTTTTCGATATGATCTGTGGATTAAGGGGTTCTTTACTTTTTATTGTTGTATCCAGCAAGTGATATCATTTGATTGATAACGGTGTTAGAACCTACACTGAAACGTCGCTCTTAAATGTAATAAAGAAGTTGTTCATCCAAAAATTCTTAACCTTGCTCACTATACAGTTTATATATTTTATGCATGTCATTATGTCATAAGAGTCAGTATTACACTAACAGTCAATATGTAGTCACACATAGTTATGTAATAATGGATAGCAGGGGTAAAGTAAACAACTGCATCATTTCTAGTTTGATATAACTTATCTTGGTACATCAAGATTGTATTAAGTTTACTGAACAGAGTGTTTGCTATTTATAAATGAACAGTTTTTAAAAACAAATATTCGTAAGACTGAAAATGCAATCTGTATATATTGGGGACATAATAAATGCACATAAAGTGTGTGGAGGGATGGGGTTGGGGGGGGTTGGGTGAGGGGGTGAGGGGCTCATCTAAATATGGTCCTAACCTCAATCCCATTATAAATTACCCATACCTAAGGTTGATAATTAAGGTCCTCTACCTCCTTCTCACACAGATACCTGTATATTTCCACCCCTTTATGTTTGTATGGTGCTCTCACATGGGGGCAATGTGTTCTTTCATTCAATACACAGCATGCTTTTGATCTCATTAATACAGAGAGCTGGCAGATTGTAAAAACCAATATTCATAAGACTTGTATACTTCATACTGATATGTCCACACTGAAGAGAGGTACTGCCAGAGACTATGGCAGGATGGGGACCCCAGCAACTGATAAATGGCGATCACATTACAAATGTTCTCCCTGGGTCTGGGCAAAAAACACAAAGCACACATATTCAACAATTGTCAACAATTTAGGAAAACTAGTTTCATGTAGTATCATTTGTTTGCAGATGAGATTCCTGAATATCTGTCAGAATGTCAGATGATTTGAGGAAACAGACAGAGTCCAGTACATCCCAACCAATGGCAAGAGTAAGTACCAACACTATGAATTCATACAATGATATGTATATGTTACTTTTTTTAACTCTTTGTTTAGATCAAAGTTAATTTGATTAGGTACTTATGTTTACAAGTTCTACTTACATTAGATATCTAATGTTTTGGTCATTATTGTAAGATAGGATTTGTAGGTCCAGAATAAAATATATTCCTTTCCATTTTGTAAGGCCTTGTAATGATTACTGTCAATACATCATTTACTTCAGTTCCCACCGGTTTGTTTGTTCAATATTATTAGAACTGACATGCAATGTAACTAAAACAAGTAATGCAAAGTGCATGGTGGAACCAGGCCTTTATTTCTTAGTCTGAAGAAAAGTGATAACTTAATTGTTTCATGTAACTAAACTAGTGTCCAAAAGAAACGATACCAACTTATTTTCAAAATTGTTTTTTACTAAGTGAGTTGTCAAGTATGAAAACATGCCAATTTGTATTGCACATCCCAAACACAGCATAGTCGATAAAAAATACCGGGAACACATGATCACTTCCGGGAAAAAACGTAAATTTCGTGAAAGTGACATTTCCCTCTCTAGCATGTTCTGCACGTGCAGAAAAACTGTATAAAACGGCTGATCAGACACGTTGATATCACAGCAACAAAAAGAACACAAGATATGCCACGTTTGACAGCCATCGAGAGAGAGAGAGAGCCGTTGGAATGGTCCAACAAGGAGCGTCACACGTCGACGTCGCCAGAAGGTTGGGCTGCGCACGCATCACTATCACCAGGTTGATGCAGCGGTTACGTCAGACAGGTCAGACGTCAGACAGGCCCAGGAGTGGAAGACCACGAGTAACCACGCCCCGTGAAGATCGTTACATCCGTGTAATACACCTGAGGAACCGCACCGTAACAGCGACGTCCACGGCGGCTACAGCACTGGGACACAGGATCAGTCGACAGACTGTCTACAGGAGACTACGGCAGTATGGTATCCGGCCACGTCATCCCTATCGCGGACGGCTCCTGACGCCTCGACACCGGAACAACAGACTGATCTGGGCCAGGCGAGTTCGACGTTGGCAACGGCGGGACTGGGCACGTGTTATGTTCTCTGGTGAGAGCAGATTCCTCATCTTCAGAAACGATGGACGGCAGCTTGTATACCGACGATTTGGTGAACCTTTGGCGCCTAACTGTATCCAACAGGTCCGGCCGTTTGGAGGTGGAGGGTTAATGGTTTGGGGTGGCATATGTGGTGACGTCAAAACGATGCTTGTCGTAATTCATGGAAACCTGAATGCACAGCGTTATCTTGATGACATCCTACGGCCTGTTGTGGTGCCCTTTATTCAGCAACAGCCTCGTGGACTCCTTTTCCAACATGACAATGCAAGGCCACACACAGCAAGATTGACACAGAACTTCCTTGCCAACGCCAACGTACAGGTTTTGCCATGGCCCGCATGTTCACCGGACATGAATCCCATCGAGCACTTATGGGACCACCTCGATCGGCAAATCCGACGTCGCCGTGTGCCTCCAGTCAACGTCCAGGACTTGGAACGATGTCTCCTCGAGAAATGGCAACGCATCACTCCCAACGTCATCAGACGTTTGACGTCATCAGTCCGTAGGCGTGTTCCGGCATGTATTGATGCTCACGGTGGACATACCCGCTACTGACTTGACTTTGAGACGTGTGGTGTGACATTTCCCGTTGTTTCTGTGATCAGTGCTCTAACGAAATGTTTATTTTTCGACCCCACCCATCTTTAAAGGCTTGTCATATTGGTTGTACAGATTTTATTGAAATGACATTTTTGTACAGATGTTGTGAAAGGATTTCTCAAAAGCATAACACCAATCCTAAACTTCTGCATTGTTTGGTTTTTCTTTTATGTCGTTGCAAACAGGTGGTATCGTTTCTTTTGGACACTAGTTTACTTCGTACACAGCAATATTTAAAATTCGGCAATAGCTGAACTATTGTGTCATGATGACATCTTGATATGTTTGTTAAGAATGGTATAATTAGTTTGTTCAATAATCATTAGAACAGAACAGGTACTCATACATCTCATGTTCATCTATTTTTCTGAAGTAATATTGCTTACCCTTTGTATGATGTGGTGATAACTTCATGGTGTGACAATCTGTCCATTATACCATACTGTGAGTATGTATACCCAAATAAAGACACAAACTAAAGAGGAATCTTAGAAGATAATCATTAGCTCACCCTGGGGTTAGGCTGTGTGTCTGCTACTGATCTATATAACACATTCTGCATGTAATTAGCTACAAACCACATGGACATTTCCCCACACAGACAGTTCCCAACACTGACATTTCCATACTCAGACATTTCCCTACTCAGACATTTCCCTACTCAGACATTTCCCTACATGACAATCTGTTCTTGTATATTGAGGGTCCTTCTACTTCTACAACATATGCTAAATAACTTGTTAATTTTTATGATTTTCCCATTACCATGAGCCTATGATGTGTACTTTTTATAGTGAGCATGACATTCCATTACAGTTCTGTATATCGTAATCTAGTGTTTTAAGTATGAATACTTGACACTAAAATAGGGGCCATTTCTGCAAGTAGTAAACATTTTGAAAAGTTCTTTTCCAAGATGTGATTATGGGAAGGTTTTCCTTTCTTTCTTTACAATCATTAGGATAACCTGGTATTCTGAAAAACTGAAATAATGCATAGAATTAAGGGTTACGTGTTTACATTGCCTGATTGTCTTTGGCTTTATTTACCATATATATTACAATATGAACACATTTCAGTGAATCTTGTGATTTGAAAGGCTGATATGGCAGTCATTATCAAAACAGTTACTCTATATGAAGTTTATTTTAAGACTAGCACCATGTACCACATTCACAATCAATAAGAAAGAAATAGTTCTGAGTGTCTGTTTATTTGAATTTTCCTTGAATCCTAGAAATATGATTGTGGAAAATAGATTGTTAGTCATCATTCTTTTGTCAGCATCAGCAACCAAATATGAGGACATGTAGAAGAACGTTATCACAAAATTTCAATGAACACTCGAGTACTTATTGGGAATTACAGTATGTGTTTTGAACAAATCATGTACTATTTCTCTTCTCTGGCTCAGCCTAACATGTGACATGTACATTGCCCAATGAGGGTGAGTTTCTGTATCTTTGGTAATGTGTTTTTGTAGGATGACTAATGCACATAGTCAATAAATTTAGTAATATGAAAGAAAAGCCTGGTAAATATGATTATGGACATCATGTATGACATACAGTTGAACATGATGTAATAGGTTTGCTTTTAATGCATTTCAGGTAAAATGTTCAAGAAAAAGAAGTATTGGTGTGATTTCAAAGGAGAATTACGACTGCCTTAGATTAAAACTTGAAGGAGGTGACATTCCCAAGGATAGCAAGACTGTCAAGTTTTACCATGTCTGCCAGAAAATACGGAAGTTCAATTTATCTTTGACAGAAATTCACAACCCTGTCCAAGGAGAATATAGATTGGAGATTATTGATGGGGACAGGAAAATAGTGATATCAAAGTCAGAACTTGATAATGTCATCTGCAAATTTTACACTGAGTTGCGGGGTTCTGGAGCAAAGAAAATAAGAACATTGATAAACCAGTATTATGCTGGCATTTCTCAGGAAGCCATACAAGACTTTATAGACAGGCAAGATGACAGGCAACTGTTACATCCTAAATTTGTTAATGCTGCCAAACTAAAACCGGTGATTTCAAGAACACCAATGGGGCGACACCAGGTTGACCTTGTGGAACTAACTGGAATGCCTGCAGAAAATGATGGTGAAACATTCATTTACATCTTGTCTGTTATTGATGTTTTCACAAGATTCTTGTGGCTTCGGCCTCTTTCCAACAAAAGAGCCTGTTCAGTGGCATTGGAACTCCACAAAATCTACTTTGAGTATGGATGGGGAAATCCAAGAATCTTACAGTGCGATCAAGGCTCCGAGTTTAAGGGAGCAGTCAACCAACTCTGCATTGAAATGGGAACGAAGATTGTCCGAAGTCGGGCTCACCATCCCCAATCTCAGGGAAAGGTGGGTGACAAATTTCAATCAAAACATGCGCACTCTAAACGTTGAGGTAATAGATGTAGATACTTAATAGTAAGAACTTTAATGTTGATGTTATTTGGAACATGTCATCTTTAGGGCAGAGCCACCCTTGCATGTGTGTGACAGATGACACCGGTCGGGCAGGATACACTAACCTTCGTGAACACCTGCTACTATCACTATTTTATGTTGATTCATAACACATGCTTATGATATTGATGGAATCATTAAGTGGACCCAGCTTTTAGAAGAGGCTTCTTATGATTATGGAAACTGTTTTTGTTATATATTTCATATATTTCATATACATGGTATAACACTTGTGCACACTTTTTGTGCCTGCCTAATCTGTTTACTATTTAGATATTAATTTATTTCAGAGTGAACAATCACACCGGGATTGGAAAAGCCATTTGGAATTTTATCACAGCAAACATGGTGATGGAGAAAGCTTCAACTTGGTGGAAAAGTTGCCAGCATATGCTAGAATACACAATGAAAGCATTCATTCTGCACTTGGTAAAGTTTGAATATATAGCTTTAATTTAATGTGGGCATATGTTACAAAGTGTGAAGCACATAATGTAAGCATATACTTTTCAGACTGTAAGCATGGTAAATGTGGATGTGTGACATTGAATTTATTTTACGCACTGACCAACAAATAACCATTATGACACAGTTAAATGATGATGGCTCATTACAGAAGGTACAACAGTTTCATAGTTGACCAGGTATTGACCAAAATATAGTTGCATGCACCCTTCAGGCTACTGCAAATTTATAGAACTCTGGAAATATCAATATTGCCACAGTGCAGTTGTGACATTTATTGTTGAAGAAGACATGAGAAACACAGGCTTGTATTTAAACATAATTCCTATGTTAACAGGTTGTTCACCATACAAGGCCATGCTGGGCTGCCCTCCAGTACACTTCAAGAATGTGTTGAGAGCTGGGAGTACAGATGATGCATACTCTTGCTCTGAAGAAGATGAGCAATGCGAACTATCTGCAGAGAGTCATGAGGTATGGAGGATTTATGTCATTACGCATAACAAGAGACAAACTCATCTATATACCCCGCCCATTGTCTAGTTTTAAATACAATGCTATGTGCAATCAAATGTGACATTGTAAATTATCAGTTTGTCTCACCTCCTTGTAGAAGAGGTTGAATACAAGAGCTAATATAACATCTCCATAAACTTTGTACATCTGCTTTAGTAAAACTTTAATGATAAACAAAGGTTATAATCATCTTCAAGTTTGTGTAAGCTAAGAATATTTAGATATCATGCATGGTATTATAGAGCATTGTTTTCAGGCAGGTATTGTTGCAGCCCTTTATAGGTACATGTAGTTACCAGAGTAAGGTACACGGTACAGATAAGGTACAGAAGTTGTAAGCATGCTGACACCTCAAAACCTGGTGAATTTCTAATACATCTACAATTAATGCTTTTATGGATTTTGTTGCAGTGTCTACTGGTGTGTCATTTAATTAGAATAAGAAAATAAATCATATTTTGAAGTTTTTTAAAGAAAAAAGACTCTATAATAGCCATAGACTGATATTGTACAAAGTTTCATGAAGATATCTTGAACAGTTTTCGGGTTCTGCTCTGGTAAACCCCACTGCTTCCAATCAGTTCAGAGACTAAGTCAAAATTTCAAAACTTTATACAAAATAAAAAGACAAATTTGTAGGTGCAGGGGATAATAACTGTCATCGGGTCCTGTAAACCTGTGCAATAATGACAGGAGATGTGACAAGTAGAGACATGTACATAGAACTATTTCAACTGCAAGATATTAGAAGTAATGATATGTTTAGATTCTAAACTTTAGAATATGAGGTAAAACTACATGTGAAGTGGAAGTGATATTATTTGACATTTATGTTAGATATGTGGACATTAAAACATGGTAAATGTAATACTTTATTATTCTTTAGGATACTGGAGACGAATATGGCTTTAATGAGAGAATAGAAGCAATCACAGGAAACCTCAGGAAAAATGTGCTGCAGGCGTCACTGACCAAATCATCAGAAATGATTAAAAAACACCACGAAAACAAGGACACATCAGTGTACAAGATAGGGGATGAAGTTCTGGTGAGGGTTCATGGAAAAGATACCAGAGTCAAACGAGGTGGGCCCAAAAAAGGGATGAAAAAATGCAAGGAAGGAACTATTGTCGAAATAGATTCCCAGAACTCCCAATTCAAGGTTGCCTATCCGAACAAGCATGTGCAGTGGGAGCAGGTGTGTGACATTACTTCTCGGACAAGAAAAGAAGAGAAGAGGAGAAGAATGAGGACATATGAAGGTACATATTTCCAGTAGTAGTTTATGAATATTATGTAATTAGCAAGTATGTTTATTAATGTATTTTAAATAAAATAGTTCTTACAGAATAGATGACATCATCTATCTTGATGGACTGCAAAGACTTGATGTTTGTAATGTATTTGCTGTTTTTATCATTTCCTCTACCCAAAGTAAGTGCAGTTGGAGATACAGAAACGAGATCAGTGTGTCCATCTGTCACATTTTGTATCAAGAGCATTCAATATTTCCTCATGGACCCTCACAATTGGTGCCTTTTCCCATGCTGGAATGTTTATAATATTTCATTTGCATTTTCATGGCAAACAGTTGGTTCAAATGAGGGTGGGGTTTGTTTCCAGAGCACAATTCATAAACCATTGCGTATTTCTTCATGAAACTTTATATACACATCAGGCAGGTTCTGTTATTCTGCTATTCAGTTTCTTTGGTAGACTTTTATATTTTGCATTTCTAAGAAAATACCAAGTTGGACAGCTAAGCAGAACAGTTATCAAAGATGATACAACTCATGTTGCTACTGCAGGTTGAAAAAGGTCTCCAGCAATACATGCTTGAGGTGACTAATTTGACCAGGTGATCGGGTAACTTGGTTTATTCTATGACATGGTACCCAGACAGTGAGGATGTTGCTAATACTGCAGTGTTGATTAAAAGAGAAGGAACAGCATCATACTTAAAATCAGGAACATACATTAATTAATGTTTTTGCTGTTGTGGAATTATGGTTCAGAATTTTGAAAGTATTATATGGATCATAGCAAATGTAATTACATGCAATTACTAATTCACGACTTTGCAAGGTATTGAAATAATTTGGTGTAGTCATTAATTGTTATGTCATTTGTACTAAATTATTAATGTGGTATATGATACTTCCTGTGATATTAGACATTACTTACAAGGGACATTCATTGGTTTGTCTTCTTGGAACGAAAGCTAACATTGACACAGGAGGTTAGGTGGTATACAAAACACAACTGATCAAGGGTCTGGAATCAAACTGCAGTCAATGGTTGAAGCATTTGTTGATTTTCAGTTCAGTTCAGTTCCTTAACCAGTTAAATTGGTTGCTCTGTGATATGTTGGTATGTGCAGAAGAAGGCATAAATGTGATAATTTTCATATATTTTTCTAACAGATGCTCTGCCAGATGCAAGAGAAGAGGGTAGAAAGCCACTCAAAAGGGGAAAAACACAGGATGAAAAAGGTATTACAATTTGAGACACCTCATAGGAATCTTCTGGAACGGTTAGTCCCCAAAACATTAGGCATATGCATGAATACTTGCATGCATGCATGCACAATAAGAAGGGTAATCAATACTTGTACAAATTGTCCACCTTTCAGAGTACATTTACACATATTGAACACTTCAACGGAATAAATGTTTTCAAAATAAAATGAATGTAAAGCATTATTTTATCCTGAAGGTATATGCTTGCATTTGGTGATGTATGCTTGCACTTGGTGATATATGCTTGCACTTGGTGATGTATGCTTGCACTTGGTGATGTATGCTTGCACTTGGTGATGTATGTTTATACTTTTAAGGAAAGGGAGAACAACAGGCTCAAACCAAGAGGAGAGACAATGCAGAAACAAAAGGCAATATCTGAATACAGATGGGTACGATCAGCAAGACTGATCAATCCTAGATGCATAATTATATCTGTTGGAAGGAGTACACAAATTCTCCATATGATGTTGTGTCAGTTGCTCATATGTCTTCCTGTATATCATGCACATCTGAAATGGTTCATTGTCTCAGCTGAAAAATACTACATCAGTACATGTATTGCAGAACATTACAGTTGTTTCCATAAAAACAATATACTAAGAGATATATTACAGGACAATTTGTGTTACTTATATAATGTGTCTATGCAGGACGCAAGAAGACGCCAACTATGAAAGAACTGGAGATGGAGGCCTCATTCTATGACCTTGACATTGTGGACAATGAAGGGGCTGGTAACTGCATGTTTATTGCATTGGCTCAACAGCTTCAAATACATGACATTGACATAACCAGCCATAAACATCTGCGAGAAAAGGTTGTGCAATATGTGTAGGTAAGTAAACAATAATGCATACTTTCAGTTTTCTTAGGGTAGAAATTTGATATAGTGAATAAAATGTGAAAGCCTAATTGGGCTGAAGCCATGTCCTATTTGTTTGGAATCATGTTATTCTTAGAAATCAGTGGACCAGCTGAAAATTTGGCATGCAAGTTTGTTCAGATTATTACACCTCAATGGATTTAAAAAGTTTATATTTGTTATCATTATGAACATTGATATGCAGTAAGAATGTTTTTTACAATAACGGCAGTACATTTGATTTGGTGAATTTCAATTTTTATCCAGTAATGAATTCCACATATCTTTTTTTGTGTTACTGAAATTTTGGCTTACAGGACGAAACCTCAAAGCTTATGAAGCAAAGTTTTGCCTGAATAGTTTTAGTTATTATTGTCTCTGAAAAGTACTCACATATTTTGGATCTTATGTTAAATATGTCAATGACAATTTGCTCTCAACCTTTCCATCAAATATATTTTCATTAATTCTTCTTATGTTATGTGAGCTAGAGAGTCATGGGGCTCTATTGGTGATGCCCTTGACATTGATTAAACTTCTTTATTTAAAACAAGATAAACAAATGGTTGTCCCAATGAAGGAAACATCCCTCAGGTCAGCCTGTTTAGTAGGGTATATTACTTTCAAATGTTTTGGAAATATTATGAGACACCTCTTAATATTGAGAATTTAAGTTTCAAAATTGCATGACAGTTGTCAGATAAGGTGTGTAAAATAAGCTGAATATTCACTTTTATCTGCCACATATGTACATGTACAGTTCTAATAGGTTTCATACTTCCGCAGCACATTTATATTACATTATAAAATTTGTTTTACTTTTGACCTCATAAAGAGTTATCAGGACCTTAAAAGGCATTTAAAAAATGTGATGGCTGAAATTTTGTACAGAAAGGCTGTATACACATTTCTAAATGAGCAAGTCTAAAATTATTATGCAAAGTGGCTCTTTTAGGTTACAGTATAAACCACTGACTTTATATTCAGTTGGGCTGTATGAATAATTTCTGATACTTCATGTTTACCCCAATAAATAGGTTCAAGTAAATTTTGAAAGGCATATAGATTGGGATGAGGTGAAATGGGACTAAACTTTGCATTTAAGGTAAATACACTTATACAGCAAGCCAGTGAAAACTTTTTTTTCATTAGCTCATCTTGAATTTTAACTTTTTCCAATTTTGGGCAAACATAAAAACACTTGACCAAATTCATGGAACCTGATGAATTGCACAATTTCAATTCATTATCTATGCATGTTGCATTTAACATAAAGATGCAAGTACCAGTACTTCCCCATGGGGGTCATGCAAAATGGTATCTTCTGACAATGTGAGGTTTGTCACTTGTAGAGATTTTGTACCATTTTAGCTTTGAACTTAGATGACTATACAACACAACATTGAGTCATGTTTTTTGTTGTTTTTTGTTTTTTCATTTTATGTGTATTACATGTAGTATAAGAAGAAAGAAGAACAGTAACATTTCTCAGTCTCACACTAACTGAACATGTTTTAGGGCAAGCGGTGTCTGTTCAAGGACTTCGTGGATAAAAACCATTATCCAACATTCAGAGACTATATCATCAAGATGAAGATGTTGGGGGAATGGGGAGACAACATCATTCTGCAGGCAACAGCTGACCTCTATAAGGTGACCATCAGGATCATTACAACAATTGCAAATGAGCCTACATTCATTCGTCCAGCTGAATACTGAGGAGACATGCCAGTACTAAGCATAGGCCACTTGTGGGAGCTGCATTATGTGACACTCATACCAGTGTCCACAGAAGGAGGTTTGTCCTTTATTGATGGTACAGTTAAAATAATTATGGCAGGTCACCATGTCAAAGCATTCAGAACTTGTGTAGGTTTTTGCAATATATACCTATAACATTACATATTACTCAAAACAGTTGACTCTGTCTTCACGCTGAAACAAAGCCCAATAAAGCCTATCATTGTGCAAGTGCCAGCATGTGCATGTTCTTTAAGTTAAGAACTAAATTACACTTGGATCGTCACATTGAGACCGTGGCATGTATCTATTATCAGATATAAATTTATGACATCTCTGTCCACAGAGACATCAGTATATTACTATATTGGTACTGAACATTTCATATATTCACAGACTCATTGGAAATTAAGGATAGAGAGCTAATATAAGTATACTTCTGACATTAACCATTTCATACTTATCATACACAGAAAAAACATTCTTGTGTTCATTCATATGCTTGTTACTTGTACAAGGATTACGCATACTGGTTCCACATCTCACATACAATCATGTTTCATTTTAAGAGAAAGAGACAGAAGCAGCTAATGACACCAAAATGGACACAGAAGATGAATCAGATTCAGATTCCAAGTATGCAATCAACACTGCTGTATGGGAACACAAGGTATGTCCACACCCAGTGCAACACCTGCAACAAGACAGTTCCTTATTATTGTGTCAGTTGCTTAATGATAGATCCATTAATGTTTTCAGTATGAAATATTAACCAAAGATGATTTCAGATGTACTTTTGTTTTAATAAAAAAAATTCTAAAAATTATATCTGAGTAAACAGTACTCTTGTATTACCTTCATAAATGTTTTTGCCATGGTGCCTTCATATTTCACAATACATTATTTGAAAGTTTAGCTTAACAATTGTAAGAGGCACATGTCAGTTGCTGCCATTAGATACCTGATAAGAAGGTATTATTCACTCTCAGTAAGATGTTTTCTTAAACTTGTGTTAATGATGTTTCTCTTTACTAAAATTTATACAGAAAGAAAATGTAGTGGCACACCTGCAGAGAATTGCTGCAAGAGATGTTTTGTTGGCAGATAACTTGGAATGACTTTCAATCCAGATATAGTAATAACTGGGGTTTTATTCCAGTTGCTTTCTCATAGTGTTTGATTTACTCCAAACCTGTGTTTGTGGGTTTTACCAAAACGAAACAAGCTAAAACAATGAATTTTTGAAGTACCATTAAAACACGAAGCACTAATTGAAGTCCTGAATGGATACTGTGTTAGAACTAGTCCCTAGCAACCTATGCTTGTCACACCAGGAGACTTAATGGATACTGTGTTAGAACTAGTCCCTAGCAACCTATGCTTGTCACACCAGGAGACTTAATGGATACTGTGTTAGAACTAGTCCCTAGCAACCTATGCTTGTCACACCAGGAGACTTAATGGATACTGTGTTAGAACTAGTCCCTAGCAACCTATGCTTGTCACACCAGGAGACTTAATGGATACTGTGTTAGAACTAGTCCCAAGCAACCTATGCTTGTCACACCAGGAGACTTAATGGATACTGTGTTAGAACTAGTCCCTAGCAACCTATGCTTGTCACACCAGGAGACTTAATGGATACTGTGTTAGAACTAGTCCCTAGCAACCTATGCTTGTCACACCAGGAGACTTAATGGATACTGTGTTAGAACTAGTCCCTAGCAACCTATGCTTGTCACACCAGAGACTCAATGGATCAGGTGGTAAATCTCTGTGACCCTGGATGAATTTATGACATCATACATTATGACTGTGAGAAATTTGCTCATAATATCAAAACACTATTTGGTCTTGTTGAGACACAATATAGTATTGATATTGCTGAGTGGGGCACTGAACAACAAACACTCATTTTAGATATGTTTTTCAGTGAGGAACAACTTCAAAGGCATGATGAGTTTGTCAGCGGCTTCCCAACACCAGACCGAAGAGTCAATTTTGCAGAGGGATATCTGTCTCAATATGTATGTACCTTCTCAAATGTGACAGTTGCCTCATATATTATTTTTAACAAACATCCTTCCAATCATTGCTCATGAAAACGTTACATGAAAATTTGTGAGCTATTTCAATGCAAGACCATGCTTTAAGGATTGTGTACATGATAACTTACAGCCCTGTCATTTGGGAATCCTTGAAGGATCTGGTGGAATAGGAGAGCTAATGTTGTCTTCGGGGATATTCTCATGTATATATATTCTGGCAGCTTATTGATTCCTACAATCGATACCACCTCAATTTCAAAGGAATATCAGTCAAGCTGTCCATTCTTTTGATATATAAAAATGGGTTCAATCTGTCATTGTATTCTGTTGAGAACAGTGCACAGATTATTGAACAAATACCCACCTGAAGGTTTTTAGTTACACCTACTGAGAAAGCATTACTACTTCCATCACCAAAACGAGACTTGGTAAACTACAATAACATGAAATTTCATGTAGGTAAGAAGATACTATGACAATGCATTGAGATAACCTGTCAGATAGTTTTAAGAGTGAATAATTCATTATAGGTACTTTAGTACATTCAGGTTTGGAAACTGTGGCATAATAAGAATTGTTTTCCTATGAATAACACTGTAGACATAGAAGGAAGTAATCAACCAGTGTGAGAGCATGGAAGTCATACTGCATACTGCTTTAAGTATATGTTTTGTCTGACTTCTAGTAACGTCTGTACCATTTTTATTTAGATAATTTAGTTCATGCAATTACTAAGTTAATTGGAATTGGACCTTCTTGTTGGATCTGTTCCTGTAGTAGCCATGTGCTCAGGTCCCTGCCCATCTGTTTCTTTATGCATATGAATCAGAACTTCTGCTCGGATTGGCAAAATAAAAAACACAGGAATTCAGTCAAGAATTTTGACTTTAGATTCCGTAGTAAGTACTGGTTAAGCTTTCACTCATCAAGCTGAAGACCCGGATTCGATTCCCCACATGGGTACAATGTGCGAAGCCCCTTTCTGATGTCTCTCTTCTCCTTAGAAACCACATAAACAATGACACTGAAACATCACATACTTGTTCCAATGATGTCACATGTGTTAACCAAATATTTCAGCAAGGCTGCAATTTCTGGATATATTCATTGCGTTTTCTTTAAATAGTTCTATGACAATGAATGAATGACAATGCTTACAACAAATCCTGTTGGATGACTGGCTTTGTTGATATTTCAAACTGTTGCGTACATGTGTTGATGTCTTTGTGAGCTACGGTGCTTAGTCAATTGTTTTTACATAAACATATGTTTTTTCACACTTCAGAGCTGCCACAGATTACCTGATGTATGTTGGGGTAAAGGAAGCTATAATTCATATTCTGATGGATGTGCTGAATAAACCCTATGAAGAAGTCAACTATGAATGTAAATCAACAGAATTTGATGCCAGTCAAGTTCCAGGGAGGGGTGTCCACATCACTGTGGATGACGAATAATGATGGTTTGGTTCACACAGGGAGGATTAAAATGCCACTGTTATACAGGATGACTGACTTGCTGGATGTGTTGTGATGATTGTGCTTGCACACTGATATCAACACCCACATATATTATCTTTACAAGAAAAGTAATTTGATGTACATGAACCACAGTGACATGTCATTTTGTAACATTAGTATTTCTTTGTATGACAATGTGTGAATTTATTAGGGCTGCAACTGGTAACTCGGGTACCTGGGTCGGGTGGGTACTGAGTAGGACCCGGGTACCCACAGGACTGCCTGGACCCGTGGTTAGTCATGTGATATATTGTTTAATGACAAAAATTATCTCGAACTCTATGCTTACACTAAAAGTCACTCATGTTCGCATTTCTTTCTGACTATGCACCCATTCCTTCTGACTTAGGCTCTTCTTTTGGCCACTGATAGTAAATCCCATTTCTAACTTGAGAGCAGAATATGAATGCTATGGGTCAATATTTCTAATTTTAAGAGATTTTTGACTATATTATTACTCATGTCCCCTCGACCAGAAATGGGATAACGCCTATAAACTCGACAAATAATGGAATCTTAAGATTTTGTTTTGTCTACTGATAGTAAATCCCATTTCAAACCTGTCAGCAAAGCCTGAATGTTATGGGACAATATTTCTAATTTTAAGAGATTTTTTACTATATTATTACTCATGTCCCCTCGACCAGAAATGGGATAACGCCTATAAACTCGACCAATAAAGGAATCTTAAGATTTTGTTTTGACTACTGATAGTAAATCCCATTTCTAAGTTGAGAGCAGAATATGAATGCTATGGGTCAATATTTCTAATTTTAAGAGATTTTTGACTATATTATTACTCATGTCCCCTCGACCAGAAATGGGATAACGCCTATAAACTCGACCAATAAAGGAATCTTAAGATTTTGTTTTGACTACTGATAGTAAATCCCATTTCTAAGTTGAGAGCAGAATATGAATGCTATGGGTCAATATTTCTAATTTTAAGAGATTTTTGACTATATTATTACTCATGTCCCCTCGACCAGAAATGGGATAACGCCTATAAACTCGACCAATAAAGGAATCTTAAGATTTTGTTTTGACTACTGATAGTAAATCCCATTTCTAAGTTGAGAGCAGAATATGAATGCTATGGGTCAATATTTCTAATTTTAAGAGATTTTTGACTATATTATTACTCATGTCCCCTCGACCAGAAATGGGATAACGCCTATAAACTCGACCAATAAAGGAATCTTAAGATTTTGTTTTGACTACTGATAGTAAATCCCATTTCTAAGTTGAGAGCAGAATATGAATGCTATGGGTCAATATTTCTAATTTTAAGAGATTTTTTACTTTATTATTACTCATGTCCCCTCGACCAGAAATGGGATAACGCCTATAAACTCGACCAATAATGGAATCTTAAGATTTTGTTTTGACTACTGATAGTAAATCCCATTTCAAACCTGTCAGCAAAGCCTGAATGTTATGGGACAATATTTCTAATTTTAAGAGATTTTTGACTATATTATTACTCATGTCCCCTCGACCAGAAATGGGATAACGCCTATAAACTTGACATATAATGGAATCTTAAGATTTTGTTTTGTCTACTGATAGTAAATCCCATTTCTAACTTGAGAGCAGAATATGAATGCTATGGGTCAATATTTCTAATTTTAAGAGATTTCTGACTATATTATTACTCTGTCCCCTCGACCAGAAATGGGATAATGCCTATAAACTCGACAAATAATGGAATCTTAAGATTTTGTTTTGACTACTGATAGTAAATCCCATTTCTAACTTGAGAGCAGAATATGAATGTTATGGGACAATATTTCTAATTTTAAGAGATTTTTGACTATATTATTACTCATGTCCCCTCGACCAGAAATGGGATAACGCCTATAAACTTGACATATAATGGAATCTTAAGATTTTGTTTTGTCTACTGATAGTAAATCCCATTTCTAAGTTGAGAGCAGAATATGAATGCTATGGGTCAATATTTCTAATTTTAAGAGATTTCTGACTATATTATTACTCTGTCCCCTCGACCAGAAATGGGATAATGCCTATAAACTCGACAAATAATGGAATCTTAAGATTTTGTTTTGACTACTGATAGTAAATCCCATTTCTAAGTTGAGAGCAGAATATGAATGCTATGGGTCAATATTTCTAATTTTAAGAGATTTCTGACTATATTATTACTCTGTCCCCTCGACCAGAAATGGGATAATGCCTATAAACTCGACAAATAATGGAATCTTAAGATTTTGTTTTGACTACTGATAGTAAATCCCATTTCTAACTTGAGAGCAGAATATGAATGCTATGGGTCAATATTTCTAATTTTAAGAGATTTCTGACTATATTATTACTCATGTCCCCTCGACCAGAAATGGGATAACGCCTATAAACTCGACAAATAATGGAATCTTAAGATTTTGTTTTGACTACTGATAGTAAATCCCATTTCTAAGTTGAGAGCAGAATATGAATGCTATGGGTCAATATTTCTAATTTTAAGAGATTTCTGACTATATTATTACTCATGTCCCCTTGACCAGAAATGGGATAACGCCTATAAACTCGACAAATAATGGAATCTTAAGATTTTGTTTTGACTACTGATAGTAAATCCCATTTGTTACTTGAGAGCAGAATATGAATGCTATGGGACAATATTTCTAGTTTTCAGAGATTTCTGACTATATTATTGCTCATGCCCCCTCGACCAGAAATGGGATAACGCCTATAAACTCGACAAATAATGGAATCTTAAGATTTTGTTTTGACTACTGATAGTAAATAACATTTCAAACCTGTCATCATGTTGACTATATTATCACTCATGTCCCCTCGACCAGAAATGGGATAACGCCTATAAACTTGACATATAATGGAATCTGAAGATTTTCTTTTAGCTACTGATAGTAAATACAATTTCAAACCTGTCAGCAAAGCCTGAATGCTATGAGACAATATTTCTAATTTTAAGAGATTTTTGACTATATTATTACTCATGTCCCCTCGACCAGAAATGGGATAACGCCTATAAACTTGACATATAATGGAATCTTAAGATTTTGTTTTGACTACTGATAGTAAATCCTATTTCTAACTTGTGAGCAGAATTAGTTAGTCACATGATATATTGTTTAATAACAAAATTTATCTAGAACTCTATGGTTACACTATATGTCACTAATGTTCAAATTTCTTTTCATACGGTTGAATAAAGATATATAACTTAAGTCACCTACAGTGTATGCATGACCAGATTGTTTAATTCATGTATCTAAATACGTTTTGCATGTACTGTGGTAAAAAAAATCACAATCGGACATTTTGTATCTCTTGAGACCTTACAGGTCAGATAATAGTGGGGTGGGGCCCCGGGTAGTAAATTTGGACTCGTCCAAGCTCTAGAATTTATGTACAATTATTTGAGAGAGATGGTTTGATATTTGTGTATATTGGATGTTGCCATGTCATGACCAT